GCCAATGTTTGACTTAAACTGAAGTATATACTATTGCTACTATGTTTATATATTTTTCCAAAAAACATGTCAATACTTTTTAAACAGAAGAGAATACTCTAACATCTGATATTATTAAAACTAAATATGGCTAATTGAGTGATTAGCAAAAGAGAACTTACATAAGAAAAACGTGAATAATAAGATAAAGAGGAAAGATAATGACATTGCCAACAGTACTACAAATAGCAAACTGTAATATAAACTTAACCTATTTTGTGGAGCCTAACTATTGGCTATAAGCATTAAGGTTTCCATATATATAGTTTAAAATTTATTAAAAATGGTCATATAATCTTATATAATAAAAGATTTAATACTGAATAGTAATATCATTGTAATAATATCGTTATTAGGAAAAATTCTTCATGAACCAATATGTTCTTTACGACATACTAGCTATGCACTCCAGATTCTTGTGTCTTTTATAGAGTCAAAAAGTTTGAATACGAGCCTCTAACATGTTGCTCTCACAACTACAAAATCCACTTAACAGATGTGGATATTCAAGATGAGTTATATGTCCTATATACAATACAATTGCCATAGGAAAGTGAGTTATTATAGCATTTTTTATTCACGTTATTTAGGGTAAGATTTGATAGGAACCTTGCATCAAAGAAAAAAAAATTTATATTTCGAACAAATGACGAAATATATCATAATCTCCCTGCTCTAATTTCGCAAGAAAATAATTCTTCATACTTTAAGTTTTACTTCTATGATTCAGAGAATGAGCTATAAAATTGAATAAGAATATTAGATAATATAAATATGAGTGAAACTATAACTAAAAGTTAATGTGAATATGAGTCAAACCACAGCTAAAGGTTTAATGGACATATTACAAGTAAATTCATATAAAAATTTCCTTTACGAATTGAATGGTCACTCATCTTTTGAAAATTTTAAGATACAAATAAATAGAGATGTTGTACTAGATTAATGTATTTATAACTCAAATAGTAGATCACATGGTCACAGTCTGGGTTGAAGGAAACAATGATGATATTTCAGTTGAGAGAGAGAGAGATTATTGAGTTGATGATCAATCACACAAAAACTTTATTTTATTTTTATTTTTATTAATTTATATAATCATGATATTTAATCACGTACATTGCACGTGCATCTCAACTAGTATATATATATATATATATATATATATATATATATATATATATATATATATGAGATTAATGGGTATCCTTGTCATACATGATTGAGCTATATTATGGATGATCTGCTCCGTTAAACTTGATCTACATATTCTAAAACCCAACACACCAAGTTTGGGGTGAACTCGTCGTCGTTTGACCATTCATCCACTGCGTATTAATTTTAACGGTTTTTGAATGAATAGAACTTTTCACATGACTCGATGGCAGGTCAAACGACGACGGATTCACCTCAAACTTGGTGTGTTGGGGTTTTAGAATATGTAGATCAAGTTTTAACGAAGCGGATCATCCATAATGTCGCTCAATCATGTGATTTTAGAGGCGTCAAGGAGGAAATCCCTCCTGAGAATTAATTCAATTCTTTGCATAAAAGCTCAATTCATTCCAACTATTTGCATTCAAGTCCACGTTTGATTTTGAAATTCCAAGCCTCTACAACCAAGTCCAGCAGTCCGGTTTTATTGGCTTTTTGCTTCAATGTGCTTCTAAAATGCTACAAAAATAGAGAAGAGAGATTTTGAGGGGTTTTTATATTTAATAATATTTATTTATATTTTTATTCAATTATGTGCAAACTAATCTAACAACAATTATTAATGGTATATTTATTCATGTAGAATAGATAATGAGGGTATAAAATTGTAATAAAATGTGATTATCAAATACCCCCACACCTAAACTTTTGCTAGTCCTCTAGCAAAGAAAATAAAAAGAAAATCCTAACTCACTTTCGCAGGAATCGCGGTTGTATTTAGCGCATACAACAAGCCTTTAAACCCCTAGGTTACCCTAGTGGACGAGTTGTAGTCTCGTGAGGGTTTGCAGTGAATATACCCACAAAATTCGGTCAACTTGCCAAGTTAAATAAGTCAGTAAATAACAGATTTTCCTTGATATATTTAAACATTCTAATTGAAGCTAGTTAATAATCAAGAAAATGTTTTTATATATAACTCCAATGTAAATCCCCTAGAAAATCTTTTTCATTATAGCAATACAAAACCAAGTCAAATCTTAGAAATTTAATTAAAAAGTTTTGAAAAGAACATGCCAACTCTTTGTTTTAATAACTTTCAAGTCTCTTGATCAAAAATTATTTTTTTCAAGACCATATATACAAAACAACAATATATAAAAACAATGGTTTGTGTTATATATATATATATATATATATATATATATATCATGAGTTTTATGATACATTCTTACATGTGTAGAAAACACTCTACACACATGTTCTAACCACACTTTTGGCATATGTCATGCTCTATTTATGCGATACAAAAATATGTCGCGTAAAGACAAAAAATATATCATAATTTACAACTTTTGTTGTTGTGACAGAGGAAATATAAGCTACTTCTACCACTTTGAGCAAAAAAATATGTTTGTTTCACTGGAAAAACTAGTTCTGTTACTTTCTTAAATACTAATGTGGCTCCTATGCGGCATGACTGGTACTTAATTTTTTTTTCACCCCTCAAGACCTAGAAATGGCCGAAACATGAGTCAATTTAGGAATAAAATCAAAATTTGTATTACATGGATATTCTTTATTTCTAAATAAAATCCCAAAAATTCCTCTGCCTCTCTCTTCCTAACAATAAATTCAATTGCCATTTCCAAACAAAAAAATTGAGTGAAGTGAAAGAAATACTACGTCCAGTGCTTCCAAAAATATGTGAAATAAATAAAGAAGTATCATTTTTGCTACTTCCTATTTTATAATTGTAGAAATTACTTTTTGAATCTACTTTTTTACTTTTAAATACTTCTTACCATTCAAAGGACCCTTTTATCATCCAAACGGGCCCTTATATCAGTACAATCATAATCTTTTCACGAACCAAGTAATGCTCTAGAAACAACTTGAAGGTTAGTTGGCTGAAAGAGTTTGGATTTTGAAGTCTTACAAACTTAGAACTCTTTAAAATCCTCACGTTTACCCTCATTTTTTTTCCCCTTGCTTTTTATCTTTGAAAGTAAGACCTAGTTTTCTCTTTCCCAAAAGTTTCCGAGAAAGGAAAAAAAAATTTATGGCCCAATAATCAGCTGACATGGCAAGCAATTCAACGAACTTTCCTCTACAAACTTTCCATCCAACCCAACACAAGATTATGGTTGAAGTTTTGGGTTACGGCATAATTCTCAGTGTGGAAACCAATTCTATGAAGTATGAAAATTTCTATAAAAACAAAAAAAAAAACCTAACTAGATCAGCACATTGAAATCTAGAATCGTAACAAGGCCGGTAGCGGTAGCCTTCGGGGCGGTGCGACCCACAAGTACTAGATCCAAACCCTGGAATACATGACGTGAGATGATGGTGCTGAAACGGACAGACTAAGGCCTAAGTAGAATGGTAGCAGATGCTGATGGGTTTGTCGGGTGGTGAATCAAAACCATGGGCAGAGATTTTTAGCTATAGTAGAGGAGCTAGGATCACATATGTTTGCAAACTTACACAGGAATATTAGGGTGATAAAAAATATAGCAAGTTCTACTGTTAGAAGAAGAAAAAAATAGGTATAAGGTGGCGACTCATTTTGCAAAAAGCTACCAAAGAGATATACATGTGATAATATCCACCATAATTGACAAATCAAAAGTTATGAACCTCACTATTTACTCTTGTGATTAACTCCTTTTGCTAAACAAACCGGCACCTTACAACCTTCAAACCCTTATAATGGTCTCCATTGAACAACCCATACCTTAAGCATGGGGTATCCTACTACAAATGCCTTGATTACCTAAGCAAATCCCACATTGCTGAGACCTCCATAAAAAAAAATCAGCAATATTAAATCGTTGCATAATGCTACCACTAAGTATCTCAGCAACTAATTAGCAGTCAAGATTTGCGCTTTACTATCATGTTAAAAACACGACGAATGTTAATTGAACCAGCCGCCCA